CCTCAAATCATTCTCAATGCGTAGCCGGACAGAAACTCGTCGTTTTTGTCGTCCATGAGCATCCAACGATTCCTCCACCACCACCACCGAGAAAGATCCATCCATTCGGAAAAGATTACAAGGTTGGTGACTCCAACGAATGGAAGGTTCCTGAAGAGAGTGACTTCTATTCCAAGTGGAGTGAGGAGAAACAGTTTCATGTGGGAGACAATCTTCTTTTCTACTACAACGACCAAGTCGATGACGTCCTAGAAATCAGCAGTGATCTTGAGTTCAAATCTTGCGACACTACTTCTCCTGTTGCCGTGCACAATGGGGGACAAGATCTCATTAGCCTAACAAAACCAGGAATACGCTATTTTATTACATCAAAGATTGGTCATTGTGAGGATGGGCTTAAACTTCGAGTTGTGGTGCGACCACTTACCAGAAGTGTTCCGAAGAAGATGCAGTCGTCACCTTTCGACCGCCTCATCAAGTGGCTACATGACTCCTTCAGACCTCACCCCCATCACTAATAATTTTCTTTTTTCCTGTTTGAGCTTAGCTTATTATTGTTTTTTTCTCACTCGTTTTTGCTCTTTCGTTTATTTTCCAAATAGTGTATTTTTATTTATTTCTATGGTTGTGGAGAAACTTGATTCAATAATAGTATTATTCCTTAAACTAATTGACTCATAAGTAGCTCCATCTCCAAAGTCAATAATAATAATATGGTTGTAATTGATTCATAACCATATTAACTTATCCGATTCACGTATTTTAAATTCAAGCTAAATATAACCAAATAATCAAAAATAATAATATTATTTAATTTGATTCAGGTTCATTTTTGATATATAGGATTTATAAATATTCAATTCCTTATATGATTATACATATAAAACATATAACATTAATTATGAAAAATAAAATATTAATTTATAAAAATGTGAAATTTAACATTCGCACAGACATACGAATTAATCTCTAGTTCTTTGGTATGAGAGTATCCACAATGGTGTGTGTTTCTATTTATTTCTATCATTGTGGAGAAAGTTGCATTCAGTAAAAAGATACCTCCACATCCATGAAAAAACAACGAAACTGAACAAAAATATCCTAATGGATTAGACAAAGAATGAAAATAAAATTTTGTCATGCGTTAACATGGCACATTTAAAAAAAAAATCAATTATATGAAACCAATAACCAGTACACATCTTATTTTATGTTTTTTTTTTCAAAGTTGCTAATTAAGATGATTGTGACATGATAATAAATACTTTATGATGATGACATGTGTTAAACTATTTATCATGATATAAAATTAATTCATAAAAAATAACTACTAATTAACCTTATTGTGATACATGACAATAAATACTTTAATATAATGACATATGTTAAACTATTTATCATTAATATAAAATTAATTTATAAAAAATATTTTATAGTAATTTTCTTTTAAAAATCTTAAACAAAAGAGAATTGTATTAACATTTATTAGCAAATTTGTACTTTGTAATAGTTTTCACAAATAGTAGTTTTTTCACAATAAACAAAAAACGTATAAACCCGAATCATTTATAAATAATCCTACAAATACAAGAAATTATTTAATAAAAAACTAACCAAAAAAAGAATTTAAAATCTTACAAATACTAACAAACAAATATATTTAATAGTAAATTTTTTTTCACAAATATTTAACAAAAGAGAATTGTAAAGTTAAAAATAAAATTATTTGTTTATAAATAACTAACTTTTTATGTTTAATAGACAATTTCTATTTAAAATCAAAAGTAAAAAAGAGCGACAAATATTCACATCTATATAGGTTAAGATTTCTAATATTATTTTGACAATACAACAAATTTTATACATGAGTATCTTTTTTATTGTTAAAAAGAGTATTTTTTTATTTTTTTTATACAACTCTAATTCTTTTATTATTATGTTTTCTACATCTTATATGTTGTAATTCTTGCAAAATTACATCATCGTATATTAGTACATATGAATATTATGAATATGTATTTGTACATGTAAGAAAATATATAGTCAGTCATAGTGTCACTTTATTATGACATCATGTTTGTACATATTTGTATAGGTCATAAGTTACTTTATTACTTTTTTACTTTTTCTTATTTAGTATTTTCTTTCTAATTTAAATATTTATATATTTGTTAATTAGAATCATCAAGTAGATAATGAACTCATAAACTTATTTAATATAAGAGATTGTAAATAAAATATATTTTTTACTGCCGTAGTACATATTATTAGAAAGTGGAAAGCATAAAAAAGAATAACGAACTTATTGAAATGATGTTTTTAAAAGAACTTACAAATATTTTGAGAATGTAAACATATTTGTTTTTCAAAGAACTTACATATATTTTTAATATTAAATTTAATTTTTATAAATACTAGAAAACACAATTCAAAGATGTGTTCATCAATCTCTTCTAAATAAGATTGAAGATAAGTTACGTGAAATAAATCTTATTGAAACCGAGAATTTTAATATGTAAGTTTACATAAATGTACATGTAGTGGTGAGAAACCATAATGAATTTCTAAGAAACTAATTTGAATACTTTTTTAATTTTTAGAATATTGAATGGTTGAAAAGGGGTATAATGATTTGTTTAAATCTTGAGAAACTTTCTTCCGAGAGATGCTTTTTTCCTCTTTATAGCATGTTTAACGCTCATGCTTAGAGGGTGCTTATCACCTGGGCCCCCACAAAAACAACAAGTTTCGACGCCTGCAACTCCCGTTCAAGCGTCCTGTTTTTCCAACGCTTGCACTATTTCGCAGGCCCACTGACACGTGGCGGCCCGCGATTGGTTCCTCTTTAATTTTTTTTGTTTTAATTCGTAAAAGCAGAAAAGTTTTTTTTTTTTAAAGAAAAAAACTAAGCACCCTTTTCTAGGTTTCTGGATAAACATGTTCTTAGTCTTTTATTCTAAAAACCTTTGGGAAGAAACACCCACTACTAATGACCTAAAGTCTTAGAACACAAATTTCAGATTTTCAAAATTACGAAGATTTAACTCAATTGAAAAGATATATCCAATCACTTATATTGTATGTTACTAATATTTAGATATATATATAGATATATGTATAATTAAATAATATTATTTTCTAATATATGTAATTGGATATATCAAGAATATGGAAAACGATTATGTTTGTGGTGTCAAACTTTTTTTTAACGCTGGATTGTATTATTAAGCCATTTAGGCAAATAGTTTTACACAATGAAAATTGGTAAAAACAATATAGAAAAAAGATACACCAGTAGGGATCCAAAGTAAACTAACACATCTATTAGTATATGGATGACTAAAAATTCCATGTGAAAGCTTCATATTTGCTTCTGAAATTGTTGAATCTCGTAGGAGATAATCTTCATATTAATCCAGAAACACCACGCTTCAGACTTAGTTGAGAACGATTGTTACTCTCTTTTTATTACTCCAGTAGGAGCCAACGAGAGAAGACAACTCTTTATATTGCTCTATTGATAATAACAGAGCCAAAGAGATTACCGTTCCATAGAATTTCATGCTGTCTTTCGAAGTAACCATAGTTTGCAGCAAAAAAACCATCACCATCCAGTGAAGAACCATCAACGATTGAAGCCGGTAAGACCCGTCGCCACCATCCGCAGTAGATCTGTCAATTACCTTTTCTAAACGATTCAATTGAACCGAAGTTTTTTCCATTCCAAATCCATTGGAAAAACCATACAGAAGAACAATCCAAAATTTTGCCAGATTCAAAATAAATTGGCAATCAAACAAACTAGAAGACCATAACAAATCAAAGAAATAAAAATAAGAAAAATTAAACAAACCGATGTCGGAGCTATAGAAGCCTCCGGCCATCGGCTTGAAACTAAAAAATCTCTCTTTTTTTTCTCGATTTGTGGTGTCAAACTATGTCCATCTTTTGAATACTTACTATAATTTTATTATTAGAAATGTTGATTTTATTAATGGTAGAACTAACACATATATAAGTGGTTCGAGATTCGTAAGATCTTCATGAGGACAGTAAATATAACAATAATCATAGTATCATGCTTTCTAAACTACTTGAAAAAAAAACAATTTTATCATCTTCACCTATTGTGCTATCGATTTGCTTTTAAAACTTTTGATAGAACTTTAGGAAATTTACTTTATGTAAAAAAATCAGATGTAATAAACTCAGCTTAATAAAAATCAAATACAAGCCTAATCAGAAAAGGATTCAAGAGATTTTTGAAAAAGGAAAAAGAAAACATACATATCAGAAACGGGATTATAGTAAAATCTTTAAGCGGCAAGGATTAGGTTCCGTAAAAGATGTTATATAAAGAGAGTTAGGGTGGCCTTGTTTTCTCATATTCAACGTTCTCTGCTTTCTATTAATTACTATGGCGACAGCAAGAATGTTCTGCTTCGTGCTGGTGATGATTCTAATGGGAAGTTGTTGCTCGGCAAAAATCTACAAAGTGGGAGACTCGAAGGGATGGAGAGCGAAGAAGGGCGGTAACTATTATGAATGGGCTAAGCGTAAGGAATTCCAAGTGGGAGATTCTCTGATGTTCGAATACGATGGCAACGTCAATGACGTCACTCAAGTTAACAGTCGTTTGGAATACCAATTCTGCAACTCTCATTCTCCTAAAGCTGTCTACAACACGGGGCACGATGTCGTGACTCTCACGGAACCAGGTTATCACTTCTTCATCACCTCAAATCATTCTCAATGCGTAGCCGGACAGAAACTCGTCGTTTTTGTCGTCCATGACCATCCAACGATTCCTCCACCACCACCACCGAGAAAGATCCTTCCATTCGGAAAAGATTACAAGGTTGGTGACTCCAACGAATGGAGGGTTCCTGAAGAGAGTGACTTCTATTCCAAGTGGAGTGAGGAGAAACAGTTTCATGTGGGAGACAATCTTCTTTTCTACTACAATGACCAAGTCGATGATGTCCTAGAAATCAGCAGTGATCTTGAGTTCAAATCTTGCGACACTACTTCTCCTGTTGCCGTGCACAATGGAGGACAAGATCTCATTAGGCTAACAAAACCAGGAATACGCTTTTTTATTACATCAAAGATTGGTCATTGTGAGGCTGGGCTTAAGCTTCGAGTTGTGGTGCGACCACTATCCAGAAGTGTTCCGAAGAACATGCAGTTGTCACCTTTCGACCGCCTCATCAAGTGGCTACATGAGTCCTTCAGACCCCACCCCCATCACTAATAATTCGTTTTTTTAGATTAGCTTATTAGTGTTTTTATTCTCACTCGGTTTTGTTCTTTAGTTTATTTTCCAAAATAGTGTGTGTTTGTTATTTATTTCTATCGTTGTGGAGAAGCTTGATTCAATAATAATATTCTACCTTACACTAATTGACTCATCAGTAGCTCCACCTTCAAATTTAAAAATAATAATGTGGTTATAATTGATTCATAACCATATTAACCTATTCGATCGATTCAGATATCTTGAATTTAAGCTAAATATAACCAAATTATAAAAAATAATCACATTATTTAAATTTTATTCAGGTTCAATTCTGATATATAGGACTTAAAAATATTCAGTTCTTTATATGATGATACATATAAAACATATAACTTTAATTATGAAAATAAAATATTAATTTATAAAAAATGTAAAATTAAACCTTCGCACGGACATACGGATCGATCTCTAATTATTTATTATGAGAATATTCACAATGGTGGATTGTCAAGTAATTTTCAAAATAAAAATAAATTGATAAATAGAAAAAAAAAGGCACGAGTAATTCACAATGGCATGAAAATAGACAACCCCAATCAATAGCTGTACAAATCTAGACTGAAAACCCGAAAAAAACATGTACTAGTAGGTTAACCAAACAAAATCTTGTAAGTTTAGGATAGTCCGCAGATACCCGAATTTTTATTTTTTAATTTTTATGTTTTTTTTAACTAAACTAATATTGAATCTCTAGAATATTTAATTTTCAATTATGTTTCCTTCGCAAATGTTTAACACATGTTCTTAGACACACCTATGTACAACGAAGTTCAACACATGTTCCCTATAGGTGTGTGTATAAGAACATGTGTTGAATATTGTTGCCCACCAGGTTGGATTCATATGCTTGTTATATATACTGAACACATACACGTTCGTTATATATAACTCGCCATTTATTAAACCTTATGGTAATTATTCAAAAATCAAATGTTAGTTTTATTTAAAACAAAAAATGTTACGTGCAAACTTATATGAAAATCTTTAATGTAACAAATTATCCTTTTAATTGTTTTGCATGTTATATAATTTCTAATGTAACAAATTTTTATTATCTATATATTTCAAACTGTTTATATAATTATTCAAGTAGTATCATATGTATTTATATGTATATTATAAGTTACTTAATGTAATCTTGATGTTTAATTGTTTCTATAAATAAATTATATTAAGTCATTTATATTAAGATGTTTTGATTGTCTTTTTTGGCAACATAGATTAGATAAGATAATTTTAAGATTAGTTTTCTTTAAAAAAAAATTAATAAATAAAGGAAAATTGAAATATCATCAACTATCCAAATTAAAAGAGTTAATTCTAAACTTCACCTATGAATGACACGTAAGTAAATTTACTAAAATGACTTCTCAATTAATATAGTATGATCGATGAGAATAAGATATTTTAAATATAAAAATACTTTAATCATTTATAAAAGTGATAACTCAACTATAATATCACATTGTCAATTACAATGATTAATTTTTTTTAAAGATTATATATTTGATTGTTTTGCATTCATTTGACACAATTTTATAATGTATGTTTATAGTGAATAAAAATATTATTAGGTTTTTATTTATTAGTTAAAATATTATTTATGGTATCCACTACAAATATAATATTTTAAAATCGTTTATATAATTATTTATGTAGTATCATATGTATCTATATTTATATTTATATTATAAATTTATATAATGTAATCTAGGATAATTAGTTGTTCAACAAAAAAATATGTTAATTCATTTAAATTTAAGATGTTTGATTGTTTATTTGGTAATATAAATTAGATTAGATAATTATATTATTAGTTTCTTTTTAAAACATTGATTTAAATAAATGAAAATTCAAATACCAACAACCAGTCAAATTAAAAGAATTAATTATAATCACCTATGAGTGACACCTAAGCAAAAATCACTAAGTGGCTTCTCAATTAATATATAGTACGATTTTAGATTTTATAAGTATGTTAGATTTCAGCTACTATAATTTATAAAAAAATTAAAAAATAAAGTATAACTATTTTATCTTGGAAAAAAATAACAAATAATTGTAAGAACTTATTATTTCTTAATATTTGTGGAAAGATCAAAATGTTTAGATTTACGTGAATCTTAATAATTATATTTATTCGTAACTACTATTATTTGATAAGAGTTTCGCATTAATATAATAATATTTAATATAATTGAGTTAATTAGCTATTTTAAAAATTTGCACCAATAGAAAAATAATTGTTTATGAATTTTTAAATAAATTTGTGAGAATATCTTGTTTAAATATCGATTATATCTCTCTCGGTTTTTGTATTTTTTTAATGTTTAACACGCTGTCTGAGATATCTTTATTTTTGATGCTTTAAGTTATTTCATTTTGAAGATTCTAATTTAGTTATTGTAGCTATACACTATTTATATTTCCAAACAAAAGTAAGGGGATTGGATTTCTAAATGAAGTAATAATATTTACAAAGATTCGTTGTGCGCGCATAGAATCCCTAAGTACTATACTTGCACGAAATCATGTTATCATCAGTTTTTTTATTGGCTCATGCATGGGTTGCATTTTGTAACCATATCCAAAAAGAATTAAAATACATAAATCAATGCTCACGCTCTTCCGGCGGAAGCGTTTTCTGGGACGAGACCGCCAGTGAGGGGCTGGCTCCAGTGGTGACTCGCTCGCAGCGAGGACACATGGTGAGGCTCGAGGCGGAGGCCACCGTGGGTGGACCTACCTTCATGGCTCTAAGCTCTTCTACTTCTCTATGGAGCCTGTGGTTTTGCTCAGTTAATGAACCAAACCACCTTTTAAGATACTCGCATTCCATCTCAGTCTGCTTCAATTTGCTCCTAAACCAAAATAAGTAAAAAGTGGGACGGTACGAGTTAAGAATTTTATCGATGTACCAAACAAAATTAAAGTTGCTTTATAATATACACAGAAGGATCAAATGCTTGTCGACTATGCAAATAATTATATTAAAAGTATATAAAATTATGGGAGCAAAAACGCATGAACGGCCAAATGAATTATGAGTCAAAGAGCATTCATGAAGTACACGAGACAGAAGAAAGAAAACACATTGATTGATTTATTTGAATAATTTAAAACATAGGAGTATTATAATAAGGTTGTGGTCATGATTATAGTTATATTTTGGGAAACCGTCATAATAGCGATATGACTAATGTTGAAACACTTCTTATTTATTGCACCATACCTTCCCATCTGTTCAATTATTGAGAGATCCGAATTCAATATTTTATTTTATGAGTAACAGTTTTGCTTTTCAACAATGACTAACGATTCATCGGTTGATCATTGATGAATACTATATGTTATGCACATGAACTAATAAGATTCATGCAGAAATGATAGAACTAATACCATTTACAAAACAAAAAAAATAAATGATAGAAGAAAAGGTATTAACTACTGATGACTATGAAACGTAGAGACATTGACACGTAAAAACAGGTATACGTACTTATGTATTATACACTCGTACACAAGCCAAAGTGATACTCCAACTTACATCACAGATTAAAAAACGTGTTGATGTAATATCATAATTGGTGGCTTTAAAATGCTGTTGTCACTTGTGAAAATAACCATGCAACTACACATACACGTGATGTAACATGTATAACTACTTCCACGTTAATATATTATTTATTAATATGTGTGTTTAATCGAGTGGCTGTTAATTATTTTATGGTTGTTTGACTTGGTAAGTTTAGGTCAATTGAAATTTTATTTTTAAATATGTATAGCAAGTGGCGATTCAGATACGGTATATAACTCATTGATAATTTAAGAAGAACCTAGAAAGAAAACATTACAAAACAAACATTCGATAGAGGAATCAGGAATGAGATATATGAAAAAGACAGCATTACCTTTTTTTATTTAAGGGTACGACTTATATGTTAACGGGGTGGGTCGAATCCGATTCAAATTTTATTTTCTGCTTTATGTTATATTCCGTCAACGTTTAACGCTTATGTGAACGCATGAACTCTCAATGACTCAACATAATCATCAACCACTCGCTTATTGTTTAACCTAATTATAGTCAGATATTTATTCACTAATGATGTAAAAAGGTGAATAAACAAATGAAAAAGAAACGGTACCTTGCTCTACGGTTTTGGAACCAAACTTCAATTTGTCTTGGCCGTAGCATCAAATGCTTTGCAAGTGCTTCCTTTTGTTTCTAAATGTTGCGGAGGAAAAAAGAGAAACATATTTTAATATAATTATTTTTACATATTCAAGGAAACTGAAAACAGTTGATGCTATGTGAAAAGGAATAATACTTACGGGATTAAGAGTATGATTCTGTCTGAAACTATCTTCAAGAAGACGAGACTGTTCTCTGGTTAGACGGAGTTTCTTACGGGGTGGAGCAGAGCCACCGTGGCTGAGTTCTTCATCGTCTTCAGACGACGATGGCAATCGATTCATGTCTAGCTTTAGCTGTTCTCTTCCTCCGCCGCCACTTCCTTCATCTGAAACTTATCGTGTGTATAGCATTATAAAATGAAACGACAAAAGGGAATATTGTGATCAAAATAAATCATATCTTTTGAACAGGATCAAAGAGATGAGACGATGAAAATATATGTATTTTTTAATCAATTTTACATTATAGAAAGATGGAAATGAATAGTTATTCATAAATGAGATCTCCTTTTTATTATGATATTTTTCCTTGTAAAATGATAAAATTAGATCATCAACAAACATAGTAACCGAACACAAGGTTCACACACACACACACACGTATATATATATATATATATATATTTGCATATAAAGTTACTTATGACCATTCTATATAATGTTATTTATTGAATATAGAGCTCACCCGAGTGAGGAGAGGAAGAGAAGCCTGGAACGGAGATAGTAAGATCCAAGTTTGAAGAATTTTCTGGTAAAATCGCCATTAATTAATAAATTTAGGGTTCTTGAGAACTAATAGAAGGTAAAGGTAAAGGTAGAGAGGGAGACTAGTAATGAAGTCTGAAGAGACAAACTTGAAGCGTGAAGATGCCTTTATATTTATATTAAGTTGTTAACACACATATATATATATATATATTTTTTGTTTTGTCGAAAATATATATATATATATATATGTGTGTATATATACATACACACGCACGCATGCGTAATCCATATGGAAGTAATAGCCTAATAGGTGATATATGTGTATGCGCACGTATATTATTGTCATATGACTCATATGTACGTAAATAGTAGTTTTATCACAAAAGGATAAACAATGTACTGGAGTATAGTATAAGGGGGGGGAAATCAAGATGCCTAATGTATAGGTGTGCATCTAGTAAAATTTATATTTTTGAGCCGTTACAAAATTATTAGAAATAAGTTTTAAAAATAAATTTAAATTTAGTCATTGATTAATAAATACAAGAGCGGGGGCATTTGACTGATGTTCGCGAGTCAAAGGAATATGAGAAGAGTCGTGCGATAAGTGGACACGAGTCGAACAGTAAATCAATAGAGGAGTAAATGCTGATTCCGTGTGGGAGACTAACCAGCAGGTTTTCTGTTTGTTTATGTAATTATTTAATTAGCATTTACTATTCTCAAAATTTTATTGTTATTTTTATTATTTTAAATCTACACTTTCGATTGATTATTTTCCTTTGAAAACCTGAGTCGGCCAAATATTTAGCTTGTGAAAATGATTGAGACCTGATCTCTTCTTACTTTATACGCTTCCCCAATTCCATGATCTCACATTACTTTAGTTTATATCTACTTTTAATTTTATACGAATATATGTTGATGATGACGTCTGTTATTACTTGTTAACTGGAGAGAAAATATAACTGGTTGAGATTATTGAGACAGAAACGCATTTTCAATGATCATAACTACTACATTAATTTGGGTTTGTTGAATTTGTTTGTACCGTTTATGGACGAGTCATTAATATTAAGAGAAGAAGATACGATGTTTCCAGATGCAATAATAATATATTATCTCCGTTTCAGTTTAATTATTGCTGTAAAGTAAAATTTTTCATTTTAAAATAAAAGTTGTTTTAAAATTTCAAGAGAAAATGTATTGATTTTATACATTATTTTATTTTTAATGGTTGAACTATGATTAAAAATATATGTAATGATGTTTTTGTTTCAAAAATACACAAAATAAAATATTTTTTAATCAGTGTATATAAACATAAAATAATAACTAAAATAAACAGAGAGAAGTTTATATAACTCTACGTGTGCAGTCTGCAATGTCCACCGGCTAACCATGAAACATGTAGTTCACATAACCATGAAACATGTAATGTTTCACGATTCAGTTTTACGCAGTGACTTGCGTGATTAAACATTGAATAATTATGTTATTAAAATAAATAATTATAATTATATTTTAAAACTTATACTTTGAACATTAAACTGAGCAGAATTTTAAAATTTAGTATATTAAATAAACAAAATAATTAGTTAGCATATTAAACTGAATAACAAAAAATAGTATTAAAAATTTATCAAAATTTAGTTGAAGTATTTTTTCATAAAACTTTCTCTTCGGTATATGGTTGCAAGTATGAATTTGTGTGGCTTTTAAAGCTTCAATTATTACTGTCATGGAAGGAGCATATAGTTTAAGGGTTTATCCAAAAAAAAGAACATATAGTTTAAGGGTGCGAGAGAAGATATTTTAGAAAATGAAAAAGAGGATCGATCCCCTATTTGCACAAACAGCTTTTGTAGGTTCCGATGAGCAAATCATTCGTCTTGGGACGTACACAGATTCATCTCCCGACATCACTATCTTCTAAGGTCAACAAAGTTCTTGTCTTGTCTCATAATCATTTTCTTCTACTCTTTGGATCCATCCAACCCACATTTCGTTTTACTTTTGCTACTCAAGAGGTTTCAATTTCAATTCGCACACAAAAGATAATCATCAGTTACATTAGTGCAAATACATCTAGATAAATATTTCGTTCGGATCATAATATACAATGTTATAGAGGTTTCAAAGTGTTTTACAATATTTTAATATTTTTGTGTTAACTTTATATTTATTCAAACCAATTACATTTTATGACTTTTATGAATAGTTAATATTTTATTTATATCTATAATGATGTGATCTAGGAAAAATGTATATTTCTTAGTTTTTGTACTTTTAAACATTGACATTAAAACCGAGGGAGTAAGATAATGTTTCATTATTGTGAATAAAACAAGGGTTATAAAGCCATCATATTTCTGTGTGAAAACTTTTGGTGTTGTAGTGTTAAAATTAAACATGAGAATTGTCTTCTCATGATTATCTTTAGTAACCCACCTCCCATGCTAATGCAACATATAAAAATATAAAAATGTAAAAAGGTCCCATAAATCATCATGAAAATAATGCCGACTTGCACCAATAATAGCTCACAGCCCAGAAAGATATGTTAATATATAGTATATGGTTCTATCTGAATCGATGATCCATTGATTATGTTTCGTTTCTCAAAACATGTTTGATATTCGTTGATAGTGATCGATTCTATCTTAGATCTTGTTGCAGAGAAGCAAAGTGATTAAAAAGATGGACAGATTTGCTGCTGGTGACAAGAAGACGCAGAATGATGAAACCACGCACAACAAGTGTTTGTCCATGAGAAGTGAAACAATTTACCCACACTTCAAGTTTCAACATGGAGTAGAAGCTTTTTTTGTTGGGGCAAAAGACAAGAGGAGACAAGGAGGTTAGTGGGTCCCATTCTCTGATGATTGGGTAGGAAACATTTTGTGGGTCCCTGCTTGTCTCTTTGTCCCTCCCCATTGGTCGCTACCCCCAAAAACTCCTGTCGGGTCCCCCATCACCATCCTATTACCACTTTTCTACAATTATTCACTCCACAAAACTCTCCTATAAACTTTTATAGATCCCATTAGTTTTCAAGTCCAATTAAGATGAGATTAGAATACTCTACATAGCATCAACTCCAAGTATCCTTCTTTTAGAACGCAAGATTGAAAGCTTAGATGACACCAAACATGCTCGATCTCTACTACGGCCACACAAGAATAATCTTGACCACAAAAGACTATACTTCTAACAACATGCCGTGTCGTGTCATAGTACAGAAAATACCAAAAAGAAAAGCGACATACTAAGTATGTACATTGGCCAGGTGCAAGCTTTTAGTCCCCTAGAAGACAAAGTGGCTGTCTCATGCTAAGCTCAGCTTTCAGCGCTGGAAACTTCTCCAGGTCGTGAGAGTCACCTAGAACTTTCTGTGGAAACAGAGCATCAAAAGGCAAATTATGATTACAGATAACACAGAAGTTCACTAAAATGATAGTAACGGTGAGAATGAATGTTTACCAAAGCGGCTATGTGGGCTTCCTGCAACATATTGCCGTCCATTTCTAGCCTAGCGACCGGGAACTCTGGTAAGTGACCAGACTGTTTCTTCCCAAGCAAGTCACCAGGTCCACGTAGGAGAAGGTCTATGTTTGCCAAGTAAAAACCATCAGAAGATTTCCCCAACATGTTCAGCCGTTTTAGGCTATTGGCAGTTGACCCTATTAGTAAGCATTTTGATTTTCTGGTTCCACGGCCAACGCGTCCTCGGAGTTGGTGTAACTGAGCGATTCCAAATCTTTCAGCGTTCATGACAACCATCATTGAGGCGTCTGGAACATCAACTCCTATCTCTATCACTTGGGTGGAGAGAAGTATCTGTGTCTCTCCGCTTCTGAATTTTCTTAGCGCCTCTTCTTTGTCGTCACTCTTCATCCTTCCGTGTAAGAGTCCGCAGCTGTAGTTTGGGAACTTTTGGGATATTACTTCGAGATCAGCAGAGGCAGCACGGAGCTGTGGCAGTTGCTCTGATTGTTCAATCACAGGATACACAAGGTATACTCTCCCTCCAGACTCCAGGTCTTTCAACATCATCTAACAGTTGAAAGATGATTAGGCTTGAATGAAAAATAAAGAAACAGAGTCTTGAATGATTTGTTTGTATGCTGAGAGAGCCATTACCGAGTAAACTTCGTTGAAGCCAGTCTCATTGCCCTCAAAAATGTGCGTCTCAACTGGTATTCTCCCAAGTGGCATGTCAGTAATCTGAAGAAAACAAAGAGAAGACGTTTTGAGTACATTGAACAAGTGAGCTTCTACCTAATGAATCGAAACGGAAACAGGTCACGTACTTGAGTCAAAGAAATATCTCCGTATAAAGCTAAGGCAAGTGATCTCGGGATTGGGGTGGCTGACATTGCGAGAACATGAGGAGCCATATTGAGATCAGCTTTAGAAGTATCATCAGAGTCAGATGAGCCAGTTTTTGATACAACAGATGCACCATATAACTTGCTATTGAATTTTCCTCTTTGGATGACACCAAACCGTTGTTGCTCGTCAACAATGGCAATACGTAGTGCAGAGTACTCTATCTTTTCAGCTATAAGACTGTGAGTTCCAATTATAATCGATATAGCTCCACTTTGAAGATCCTGTGATCGGTTTCCAGCTATAAGGTAAGGCAAACTTATTGCAATGTATAGTATTCTAGAGCGACTTGTTACCTGACGAATCATTCGTGATTGTTTTGTTGGGGTTGAACCTGTGAGCAACCCAATGGTTGGCTTGGATGGTACACCCTCCATTTTCTCCAGCAGATCACGCAACTGTTCGTAGTGTTGGATCGCAAGTAACTCTGTGGGGGCCATGAAAGCTGCCTGCGTATGGAAAAAGGGTAACATGCCAACAACGAGTCAATGACGTACCTAAGAAGATTTGATCGCAAGGAGAGTTCGTTTACCAACCTGGTAACCCGATGCTACGACCTCCATGCACGCCAAGAAAGCTACTACTGTTTTTCCACATCCAACATCGCCCTAAAACTTCCACTGGTTACAAATTTCACAAACTATAGCCCCAATAAAATAAAAAA